TCACACAGATATGCTCCTCACACAGATATGCTCCTCACACAGATATGCTCCTCACTTTTACTTTCTTAAATATTCAGGTTTGAGGTTTATTAACATTTTGGATTGACCGAGAGTACTGTAGTTGTTCAATAATGAAATTCATCCTCAAAAATTCAACTTGCCTAATAATTGTGCACGCAGTGTAAAATAAACAAGAGAAGAGAAAACAGTTATCCCCCTCTTGTCCCTTTTTGTAACTCATAGGTTTTGTTAGATCTACATTGATAATTGTCTTTTCGGTGAAGTGTAAATCAATCTTACCCATTTAATAAAATTCTGTCCAAAACTCATATCTTCCAAAACTTTAAGCAGGAAGGCCCAGTTCAAATTGTCAAAGGCCTTCTCTGCATCTAAGAAAATCAATGTGGCTTATTTTTCATTATGCTGCTTCACGTTTTCCAAAATGTCCAACAGTTTTATGATATTATTCTTTGACTGTTAGGTAAAAACCCACATGTATTGTCATGAATAAATTCTTGAAAAATTATTTCCAACCTTTAGCCAAAATCGTAAACAACTTATAGTCGTTATTCAATAATGATATCAGCCAGTAGTTTCTTGTTAACATCAAATCTTTCCCCCCATTAGGTATTAATGCTGTATTAGCCTCTTTCCAGTTCTCTGGCATCTTTCCTGTCTGTCAAATAGAATTCATTGTGTTTTGCAAAGGTTGTGGAAGTTCATCTTCAAAGCATTTATAGTAAGAAGCCAGTAACTCTTCTGGTCCAGGCACCCTTCTTTTTTATAGTTTTGCAAACTTCCCTTATTTGTTATGGGTCCATTCATAATCTGTTTCTGTTTCTCTGTAATCTTCAGTAAATTTTGTTTCTTTAAATTTTCATCTATTTTCTCCATGGAAATTTCTTGTCCTTTATATAAATCGAAATAATATTGATGAAATACTCTTTTGCACAACCACATTATCTGTTATTACAGCACCTCCCTCTTGTTTGTTTTTTAAAAAATTTTTATCCTACCTTCCTTATTTTTATAAATAACTCAAGGCAGTAAACATACCTAATACTCCTTCCTCCTCCTCCTATTTTCCCCACAACAACAATCTTGTGAGGTGAGTTGGGCTGAGAGAGTGACTGGCCCAAAGTTACCCAGCAGGCTTTCATGCCTAAGGCAGGACAAGAACTCTCAGTCTCCTGCTTTCTAGCCTGGTGCCTTAACCACTAGACCAAACTGGCTCTCTTGTAATTTCTTGTAATTTCTATATCATTTTCTTTTCTTTTTCTTTTCATAATATGTATGCCAACCACTTCCCTGGTTTATTTGCAAACTTATTTCTTTTTTTGTTTTGTATAATTCATTTTTATTTCCATTTCTCTTAGTGTTAACATAGATAATTGTTGCTATAGAAGTTTAATTTGTTGAGAAATATTTATCTTCTTTAATTCCTCTTCTTTTCTTTTCATCTCATCCAAAATAGCTTGTGTTTTCTCTTGCTTCTTCTTTCTGAATTCACTATTATGTTGTGTAAAGTAACTGCTCATGAGAGCATTGCTTGCATCCTAAACCATTCTTATATCTCTACCTTTATTAAGATAATTTTTAAAAAATCTTTTAATTTCTTTTTACGGTCCTCCACTATTGCTTCTTTCTGTAACAGCATTTCATTTAACTTCCATCTGAAAGAACTAGGTTTCCCTTTAAATACCAGATTCACTGGATTATGATCTGAAAAGGTCTTTGGTAATATCTCTACTTTATGAACCTTAATAGTCAAATTCTCTGAAGTTCAAGTTATGTCTATTCTTGAAAAATATCTGGGTCTTTCAGAAAAACAAGTATGCTCTCTTGAATTGCCATTTTTATGTCTCCATGCATCAATAAGCTCTAAATTGTCCATCACATAAAACAAACACATTTTTGGTAGTTTACCTTGTGTAATTTTAATATTTTTCTCAGAAGTTCTGTCTACTTATGGGGAGATCACTCCAATCCAATCTTCCATTAAGCACCAATTTTCATAAGAAAAGTCCATTAGTCTGTCCATAAGTCCTTTATAGAACATTGCTTTATTCTCATTTGGGGCATACATTCCCAATATCAGAGTCTTAACCCCATGCAAATTAACTTCTACCCCAACATATCTACTATGTTTATCAGTCAATATAAGTTCTGGTTGTAGTTGGGGGGTTATGTACAAAACAACTCCATTATCAGCTTTATAATCTTGACCATGCAAACTTCAAAGTCAGCCATCATGTTCTTTGACATGATGCTTCATATTAGCAATGGGTTTGGATTGCTTGAGGGCAAATGACATGTTAGCTCATTTCAGTATAAGCTGTTAAATTGTACATGTTTTAGATCATTTGAGACAGACCGTTCATGACACATTGCTACAACCTAACCATGTGTCATGTAGAGACAAGAACTCCTTATGCAAAGAGCTTACTCTTACATTTGCTAATGAAATTAATGGCATGTGTATATAGGCAAATAGTCAAAGTATCTGAAGTCAGTGTAACCTATTTTTATCTATTTTAGTTAAATGGCAGAGACAACACTGGTGTTATAGTGTGTATGCATATTTATAAGATAATAAAGTTGAACGAGAAGGGAAGAGGAAAATAGTTTTCACTAAACGTAAACCAGCTAAGCACAGGGAAAAGATTGTGAAAACCTGAAAAAGAAATTTATTACTAGAAAAGGACCCATCTGAAAATATTAGAGATATAATTCAGCTTTAAATGAACTTGACATTTTAAACAACAGCAACATTTGAGTTTTTCTCTCTCCTTGTTTTGAAAGTGTACAGATTTGACTATGTAGAATATGGCTATAAAAGCATGTCTACAATCTTCTCTGAGAAAGGTAACTACCCAAGGACACATCTCTAACTGGAGATGGGCAAGAAAAACCATCCTGATTTGTTCTGGAGGTTTAGTTTCTTTCTTCCTGTAGGGATCTATTTTGGGGTTGGGGATAAATTGCAAATAGTGAGATGGGCAAAAGTAGGAAAGGAATTTTCTACTCCATCCTTCAAATGGTGTTTACAGTTGGGTCCACCTGGAGTTGGCTTCAGGGAGTTGAGAAAATTGACTTATGGCCTTATGGTAATCTACTTCCTTAACATTTATTTCACAGCATTTATATACCTCCCCAATCCAAAATTAGATTATGGACAATGTACATTGTACACAGTTTTCAGGATTTTTTGAAATGTCAACAAAGAAGGGACCAAGTACTGTATACGTTTGGGAACAACATATGGGAGCAACTATAGAAGAGGCCTACCTTCTGGACCACACTGCTGTTCCCTTCATTGGGGGCGGGGCCTTAAATGTTTCCCTGTAGAAGTCCAGATAGGATGGGCAGGATCATGTTTCATCAGGCAGTCCTCCATTGGCTAAACCCTGCTCCCTGCAAAGTACTGCCTTGATTTTGTTCAACCTGTTTATCACTATTGTGGAATATTTTGGTAATTTCATACACTTATTAAAAATATCAGCTGTCATAAGGATAAATATCCAGGATGCATGTTATATTTTTGCCTGCAACAAGTAGCAAAAGGAATAAAATATATAATACTGATGTATATTTTATAACTATATAATAAACATAAAAACCTAAAGGAATATTGAATATTAATTTCTATTATTTCTATTTAATTACTTTGGAAGTTTGGTGTAGGGTGCTGTTTTGGGACTTTGGTACCACTCCCTTCAAAGATGAAACATGAGGTACTTACTGTTCTTACAGAGGAAAACTGCGATTTTCTCAAAATTCCATCTATCAATTACTTAAAGATAAAAGAGGTAAGCATTTTGTATAAGGTCCAAGGTGCATCAGGTAAAATCCAGAAATTATCACATGCCATTCTATTGATTAAGAGTGGAGACGTTCTCAGCATGGGTCCATATGCTGTTGGGTCCCCCATTGTTGCTGATCTTCAGCTCCCAGCATCTTCAGCGTGGGGCCTGCTGGCATTTTGCCAATGTCCAGAATGCTATGGACTCCCTATAGTTACTTACTCTGTCTAAGCCTGTTGAGGTGGAAACATGTTTTGCAGTTTCATCTTTGAATAAAACCCTGACTGTAACCCATGAAACTAAAGCACAGTGCAACAGCTGGACACTAGATTTTTCCCTTTATTTTTTCAGCCACAGACAACTGGAGAGAATCAGAAAAACAAAAACACTAAGCTGGCATAATCTCTCTAAATGTAAAATGCATGGTCTTATATTTAGAATATTGTTTTCAGTTTTTCATTACTAATATTTTATAAAGTACCTAAATACCCCAAGATAGATATGAGCAGAACCTGGACAACTGATGGTTTACTCATATTTTTTTGTAGTCAGAAATTTGATGCTAAGTATTGTATGAAACAGCCCTCTAATGAACATGTTTGAATGACTGATAAGGTGGTGAAAATTAAAACATTATTTTATCATACTTTCTAGGTTTCCTTCCAGTAGAAAAAAAATGTTGTATAAAGAGTCAATTACTTTCACCCAAAGAATCCTGATTAAACCGGTAAAGGGCAAACTTCCCTGAGCATCATTTTAAAAACGCACAGCACAAATGAGCTCATTCATTCCAGTTCCAAGAGAGCCTTCATTAATTTGAACAAACCAATTCAATCAGTCCTCTTCTCCCCTTACCACCAAGCTGTATTCCAAGGCTTTATCACCACTCTGCCTTTCCCAAACATATCTGCTGAGGGGATCTGAAAGGGTAGTACAATCACAGTAGGTCCTTATGCAATGATGCTAAGAATGTCCACTGATATCCGCATATTTTCCAACATCCATCAATGGCCCAAGTGTATTTGCAGGGCAATGTATGCTGCTTTCCCCAATTTGGTAACTCCCAGATGTGTGGGTAGCATTCTAATGATCTCAGACAATACACTAGGCTGCCTGGCTGTGGCTGTTGGGGACGATCATGCAAAACAGTAGGCCAAGACTCTGATGTCTTCTAGTCTCTCTTCCATATCCCAATAGGCAAATTTGGCTAGGCGTTGGTTGAAGAAGGTTGGAAGGAAGATGGGTACTAATCTGAGCGCCTTATGAATGGGCTTCCTCTTTGGAGGGACTAGAAAAGGCTGGCAATAGTATTGCTAAAATTGTAGCTTTAAGATAAATTTGGTACTCTTATTATATCAGACTTAAGTAAGCAACAGGCTGAATTTTTCTAATTTATTATTTACATTTGCAATGCCTTATTAACATACTTCTTGAAGTGCATTTGCAGTAAATTAGAGCAAGTGCCTTTTGATTAACATTGCAGAGCCCTCTGCCTGGATGTGGATCTGGAAAAATCAAACCAGTTACAATTTATTTCTGTCCAGATGAATGTATTCCCTCACATACCTTTATATAAAACCAACATTCATCCCAGCTATGCCACAGAACCATTCCAAGTCCAAGTATTACATAAGTATTTTGACCATTAAAAATGCAATTAAATAGTTTCTCACATGTTGAAATGCAACTCCCAGAATTCCCAAGTAGTTTGATGGGGATTTTGGGATGTGTAATCTAATACATTTGGACGGCAGCAGGATTCTGTCTGTCTGTCTGCCTATCAATCAATCAATCAATCATGGGAGAGGCTGGTTTATGTTATCCAATAATCAATGGATAAATCTAAATACAGTGTTGCACACAGGTGAATTTTTGTAATTCAACTCACTGTAAATAAATTCATTCTAATTAATTACTATATCAAGATGTAACGTTATAAAAATTATACTGACTAGAACTGTTATTAAATGTGAATCCCATACTCAATTCCCTCTGTGAATCCTTCCTGTCTATTCTTTACATTTGTTCTCTTTTTCTTAAGATAGCACTGCTTTTACTGCTGTCTAAAACTGAAACTGTCTTTCAGAAAATAACAAAACGTGAACAGCAGGCCAAAGAAGAAGTAATCCATGGCTCTCCATATTACCAAAACTGGCCTTTGGTATTTATATTTAAGTTAACTGCTCAGTTAAAATGGAGGAAGTTCCCAATAGACCATGGTGAGTATAATTTAATATCCATATCAATATCCATATTGATATCCATATCAATGTCATGACCTAAACAGGGAGCCTTTAAAATAATATCCAAGGGGCTGCACTTCAAAAACGTGGATGGGGAACACTTACATAATATGGAAGAACTCATGAGAAAAATTAAATTTAATTTCTATTTCAGACTAATGTATTAACTTCTCCATGAATCTAATACTTTCCCTTTCAAAATTATAGTTCGGCAGCAAGTTTCCAATGGGTTATGAGGCAACATGGCATCTTTGGGATTAATTAATTTCCAGAACGTAGAAAACTGGACAAATCAGTCTGCCCCAATTCATATCTAGACTACTACACATGCCTACAACTGTTGGTTTGCTACCAAATATGTAATCATGAATCCAATTCTTGCTCCTTGTAATTGTTATAATGGGTAACATGAAAAATGAAGTAATTATGTAATTTTTCACATGCAATCAATAATGAGTAGGGACAGGAAAATGTGGAATGAAATAACACTGCTTCACTGCTTTTTAGAATTGATTATGGGGAAATAGCAGGAATTGGAAGCAGTTTGCCCTTTTAGTGGCAATTTTCTTTTGGTGTCACATGTAGCTTTACCAATCTCTCTATTTGTGTTTGTGTATGTACGCAGGAATAAAATACAGCATTTTCATATAATTAAAGAAGGATTCTAAGTATATATTCTGTAGACTCTACTTTATGCATTATCTACTTTTTACAAAAGCTAAATTATAAAACCTTTTAATCAACCAGTTGCTATTAGAATGACTTAGATGAGTAATCTAGAGTGAAGCAGAAAAGTGATGACTTTTATCAAACCCTTTAATTAATTCATTGTTTAAAAATGCTTATGATCCACTTTTTTGCCATGAGTGTTGTACAGCTTGATTATCTGATAGTCTCACAGTGTGTTTCCCAATACTTAATAGCATTAGCCGATACAAGCAATTTTTTTTTTTTTAAAAAAGCTAAATTCCATATAATATTTTTGTTGTTGTTCAAATAATTTATATAATTACTCTTTTGGCTGATCTTATTGAGATCATAATTTTCAGTTGCTTCCATTAACTTCTGGAGTACAGATTTGTTAAGGATAAGCAAGTCCTTGTTCAGATAGATATTATAAATTAATATCTGGTGAATTTCATAGTATTTTACAATGACATTCTTTTATTTATATAAAGAAAGATGGGAGCTCCTGGGTTGCATCTCACATCTGTTCTGAACACAAGGGGTCAAATAAAAGCAGTCTGAAGCAGTAGAATACTGTGTTTTGATCCCCTGAAGACATGTCCTAGGAAAATAGTCTCAGATGATACACTTGTTAAGACAGGTTTTCTTGTACATGAGACTGAGACTCTTTGCCCCTAAAAAGCAAACAAACAAAAATAACAGAAGGACTGAAGACCCCAGTGCTAAGGAAAATGGAATTTCAAAAGTGCTAAAAAATAAAAGCAAAGATTAGATCATTAAATTTTACTTTTATGTACTGTTGAGATTCTCTCTCTCCATTTGCCTTCCTGAATGAAATTATTTCCAGCCAGCATTTCCATTGCTGATCAGATATTTACTCAACATAACATTTAAGCTAGTTTTCAAAATACATTTCCAGAACCCAGACAGACAAATGTACTTCCTCACTTGCTGTTAGGAAGACCTCTTTTCTCTCTTTCAATGAATAATTTCCACGTTCTTTCTGCAGGTTTTATGCATTGGTTTCTCAATAGTTTTTTGATGGAGGGGATGGATTTAATTTTTGCTGTGTAACCATTAGCCTTTCATTTACCAGTCATGTTTTTGTATCTATCTTGCTTTACTATACAGATATTTGGGCTCTGCATATTGGAATAGCAACTAGTATTATAATTTCTTGGAAACAGATATTTTTAATTAAAATTAAGAAGGTTAATTACTCCTGTCCCATAATGCACAACATTCAGGGAGGTATGTGCTAATCCTTTTTCTTTGAACCTGGAAAAGGATTAGCACATACAGCAAGTGTAATCACATGTAGCTTTTATCTTCACATTATGTTCATCTGACTTTTAAATGAATGTCGACCCTATTCCTTATTTGCCAGTAGGAATCTACCACTGTTCCCAGTAATCTGAGTAGGATTTTGTTATTCTTTAACAAATTATTGAGACATGTATGAGCAGGAAAAGGAAGGTTTATTGTACACTAGACAACCCGTGACCAGTTGGATTCATGTTTCAGAGATATTTCCTTACCTAAACTGAGAAGCAGAATGACCACAGGCAGGCAAAAAAGTGGTGGGAGCAGGAATGACTTCCTACCAGCTTCCCCATTGACTTTTCTTATGGGAAGCTGGCAGAGAGTGTTGTAAATCTTCCTTCCTTCCTTCCTTCCTTCCTTCCTTCCTTCCTTCCTTCCTTCCTTCCTTCCTTCCTTCCTTC